ACTGAAAAATTAATTTTACTCTGGGACTGGTGTATCCATTGACATTTACTAACCACATACATTATTAAAGTATGAAGATATGTCTGCTCCAGGACCACTGAAGTCTTTATTGCTTACATAGAATGTAATAAGCAGTGAAAAAGAAAAACATGTTGTTTGAAACATATAAACTATTATTATTCTAACACACTTTCCTATTTCTGAAGTTAGTCTTTTTCTTTAGTGGTTTGAATTAAGACCTTGCCCTAATAACTGCAGCAGAGGTTGGTGGAAAATTTCAAACACAAAAAAGAGGTTTCCTATCTGTCTTCTCCTGATTTTCTTCTACACGTGTTTTCTCAAAGCCCAATTTTCCCTCTGCTATGCCTCTCAGTATCTCACTCCATCAGCTGACAGCCCAGTGTGCTGTTTCCCTTAAGTCAGATTTTACTTCCTGCCTGCTTACCTTTTCCACTAGTATCTTTCTCTCAATCATCCCTTAAAGTCCAGCTCTTCTGAAACTGTTACATTTCACTGTCTTCAGCGCTTTCCGTTAGATCTGATGACCAGCAATACAAAATTAAAGAGATTACATGTAATGCAAGTTACTGAACGATAATTAGTAAAATGTTTTCAGACATAGCTTACAGAGCATATACAGAGATCCCCAGTTTATTATTACCCATCTTATATTTCATCTCTTCTCACCATATACTCTGTCTAACAGCACCCTGTCACCCAGGTGTTAACTGACCTTTAATAGCATGGACTTCATGTCTCTAATTGCAAGTTTGACATTTTGGATGTGTATTGCCAGTTCAGAATCAAGACAGACAATATGTTCCATCTACTGTATTACAATGGACAATAATCCGACATTTCTATTAATATTTCTCTGCTTTTCTAAAATATAATATCAACATTTTTCTTCTGGTTGTACTTGCCATACCTGCCCTTCAATCCTGGCATGTAAGTAAACAGTTAAGTAGTAGTATATGTTCCTCTTTCAGTACTTTTTTCTGTTCCCCGATGCTTACCTCAGATGTGACAGCAAAAGGATCAGTGGAAAAGTCATTTGTAGAGGTTCCTGAGATACTGTAAATATCCCAATGTTGGTTATTTATAACAAGGCCAATTATTATTTCAAGTCTCGAGAATAGTTTCATTATACTTCATAGTTGGAATCCATGCAGCAGATGAATTTGTTTCATGATTGAAAATATATTCAGTAATATCACTTACATTTTTATGTGAGCCTACAACAGAGTCTTTATTATTTTCTCTTGGACTTTATTCCTTGCAGTACAGGTAGAAAATGTATCCAAGCCTCATCTCTAGATATGTAATTTGGGTACTCTGGAAGATATAAATTGAACATCTTTATTAGAAGGGGGAAAAAAATTAAGTTTCCCAATCCTGTGATGAGTGTTCTCACCAATAATCCATTTAATTAAAAATGAGCGCACTCTGCCTTGTGTTTTAGAATAAATGTGCTTGTGGCCAGTGTGCTCTGTGCTGAAGTTAAGTGCTTTGGTTATGTAGTAGAGGTACTCTTAGTGTACCTACTCAATAGAGGTTGTAGAGAACACAGGAACATTTATGAATCCAGTTTCATCATAAGCAGGAGGTAGGTACCAAGTCAGCCAGCCAAGATGGCTGATACATGTATCATGAAAGCTTTAGGTGCCTATATAACTTAATTAGTAAAGCAACACCCACTATTAACCTTCTACTCGATCATTCCCTTGGGTGTAACTGACTGAACTACGCATAAACTTTATATATAGCATTAATGCGTGTGTGTGAGTGAAACCAACCTTGTAGTTTGTGTTTAAACTCACTCTAAATACAGAAAACAAAATACAAATGCTAAATATTATGATTTTTAATCTCTCAAAATCTTAATTAAGGGTGAAGTGTGGTTTGGATTATGCCTCAGAAAGACAGGCAGCAAAACAGAACCAGTCTCCCTAGGTAAATAAAGATGATTAATTTGGAATTGTTTGAAGTTTGTTTACTTAATGCATACATAACATGAGGCTTATGCAGGCAAATAAGATGCCGCAGGAATCAAATATCACAATAAAAGGGGGGAAAAAGGAAATAAAGATACCCACAGCAAGGTATCTGTGGAATTTAATCCAGTATTCACTACTTTCTTCACTGAAAAGATAGAAGTCTAAGGTGAGATGAGAGAAAAATACATTTGTTTCACCACTTAGCTTTGTATATGACCTTATCAAATGCAGTTACTGAAATGCAAGCAGTAAAGCTAAAGCACAAACATTTTTGAAAAATATATGTAATTGATATTGCCACCTGCTCTCTTCTGAAATTTTTTTGGTATATTTTCTTAGCCAATATTTAATCTCATACACATATACACGTGTATATACACATATATCTTTTCCTCTAGCACTGCCATTATAATAAGACGGGTTTATGTGAAATGAAAGAGAAGCAGTTTTTGCAACTCACTGCTATCTTGAAACAGAATTGTGACAAGCAAATTTATCTACACGTGTTTGTTGACAGAAAATGTTAAACTTTAAAGAGAAAGCAAATAATAACTCTTCATGAAAATGGCCATGTTGCCCCCATTTTGCTGGTTAAGCAAACTGAAATAAAAATTACTTGATTTTAAAAAAATATGTGTATGCACTTCTAATGTTAAGTCTATAGGACTTAGACAATCAGTCTTTTCTTATGAAAAGATCATTTTTAAATAAAACAGTCATCTTAAATAAAAGCTGTGTGGAAGAACACCATGTAAGCCTGAATGAGTGCCTGAAAAGACCACTAGCATTCTCAGAAATGGCTGATGGTGGGACCTACAGTTTGCAGAGCAGGAGCTACCATCTTGAAAACAAAGTTTTTTGTGGGTTAAGACCGTGTTGTGAAGCTTGGATACTTTTTTTTTTTTTTGGCTGATATTATAGAGGGTTTCTTGCTCTGCAAGAAACACATACTAGATAAAACTATCATCTGATGGAAATAATAGGCAAGACTATTCTTTATATCTGTTAAGAGAAAAAAATGTAGCCATAATCTTGCTTGCAGATAAGCATTTTCCCTGTTTCATTTCTTTTTGACAGGCTGTGGGTAAACAGAGCTGCTCAGATCAATTGTTGTAATATGTATTCTGTGAAGAACCACACTGGGATTCTTATCAAGAATGATGGAGGGGAAACCAAACCACTGCACACACAAAACTTGCTGACTCAGTTGCTTTTATAAACCAGTATTCTCCTGCAACCACATGTGGGTAATCTCTGTTTGTTTAGACAGGTCACTTACCTGCTATGATTACCCCCAGTCATTGTCATTGGGAAAGAGCTAATAAGGGGCAAGGTATATATATTTTAGTTTTCTAATCTGTAGTTTAGTTTTCTAGTGTGCACAGGTAGTCTTATCCATCTGTCTGGGTCAGGAACCCCATACAGAAGTATGAGTTATGAAGTACAAGTCCACAGAATAACTGGTCATGTAGATCTTCATCTATCTTTCAAGTACCCAATGTCACGTAACCTAATAATTTAAGATAGGTTATTCCTGTGGCTGAAAGGTTTTGCCTCAAATTGGGAAAAATAACTCCCTGTTAACACTGTTATCCCATGTAGCAGCACATCCTTGAGGCACAAAGCCAGGGGACCTCCCCAGTACAAGGGACGGACCTGGGGACTGTAGCGCAGAAAACTCAGCAAAGACGGTGCTTTAAGAACTGCAGTTGCCTAACGGGAAAACTATATTGACCTCATTATTTGAAAGTATAACCCAGGGAGATTTCTTATTAATTCAGAAGTGTGCTTTTTTACGGTTACAAATTCAGGCCTCCACAGAAATACTGTTTACAACTGGGTGCCTGTGAGTTATGACCAACGTTAATCACCTGTTCCTCGTTTGAGGTACAGATACAGGAACGAACGTTTAACTATACACTTGGTCACTTGGATTTTGCAATTTAAAACATTTTTTCCCACTGAAACAAACGCTGCCTCCGAAACTCCTGAAGCAACTGCAGTTTCCACAGTGCCCTCATCCTGTAATTTCCTACGCCCCTGAATAACTTAAATCAGCAGCTTTAGAAAGTGCCGACATCTCAAAACTGGAAACACACACCAAAAATGAAGTTACTTACGCAGCTAGCCGACCCCACCCCAGCCGGAGCACACGGGGAGCGGCGCCCCGCAGCCCCGCGCTCGCCTGCCGCCAGCCCCCACAGCCTGAGGCGGCGGGCTGCCGCGGGCGCCCCCTCACAGCGCCTGACTGACGCTCCCCTCACCCACTCACAGCTCGCGCTGCCCGCTGGGCGCGCCGCTATTGGCCGAGGAGGTAGCGGGGGGTGGGCGCAGCGCGGGGG